GCGATAGAGTTGGCCCTAACACAAGATGGAAGGAGGTTCCGGGGTGACGAGCCGCCCCAACCAGCAAAATTGCTTTCACCAAATCTTTCTTAGTTTATAGATCTCTCCCTTGGCGGTAGGGTGGGAAGTTCTACGTTTCACAAAAAGGCTTGCGAGCAGTTCTTATGGGAGTAGTTTGGAATTTAGGTCCACGTTTTGGGCTGTTGGTCATTGAGAATTGAGCCTAAAAGCAAATGTGAGGAGACTGTGTGTGCCGGTAAAACAGTGTGTATGATTGTGATAAGAGGCATAGCCCCTGGCAGATTTGATTCAATAGTATCGGCTCTCCTCAGTTTTCTGCAAGTGCCACTACAGACCACCTCATGATTTCAATTGCCTGTTCGACGCTGGGCGCGACTCCCATGCTAACAGTTGACCGCAGTTCCCCAAGTCTCCTCTTCCAGAAGCCCCAACGCTCAAGACTGAACCCTAGATGCCCAGGAAGTGAACTCCCTCTCGAGCAGACCTGCGCAAGGCTTCGCCGAGATCTTGATGGTCCAGCAGGCACAGCTCAAGCAGGGCAAGGCCAGGATGGGTAAGCCACGAGCTGGCAACAGCTACCCCGTTATCCACGGCCTCGGCCGGGGAACAATCTCCTTTCACCTCGGCCAAGTCGTTCTCAAGGCCTTGACGTAGCTGCCAGATGGGAAAGTCTCCCCAAACGATAGCCCCGCTTCCGAACAGACGAGCGACAAAGGAATTCAGATTCAGCCACTAACCAGGGGTATAATTGTCATCTTCGTCCGAGTGCCATTCGAATGTAGGATCTAATTTAATATCAGCAGTGTATTAACAAGAATAAAAAGCAGGATACGCACCTATCTAATTATCCCTCATGATATTTCCCAGATTTGGGAGGTCTCTCCGCACCGATGACCCCCTCTCAGCACTTGAAAAGTTTGACGATAACTGTTCGGCTCTGATCGTATTGGTGTGGAATCCGTGTGGCAATGTCAAAGAAGGCGTGCCAAATCTCTTCGAGCTGTCCTAGTAGCTGACTCTTTCCGCTAGGCTTCTTCTCTACTTCGGCAAATTTCTCTAGAGGAATAAAAGCGCGCAACTCCGAGGCGGCACGCTCTGCTTCTCCATCCAAAGTCGCAAAAGGTCCCCCCAGAAAGGGCTGTGACGGCGATTTGAAAGATTCTGACCAATTCCTCTTGGCGTTTGGAAAAGCCTTCTTCCTCGATGAGATTCGGGCTCTCGCAAGGCTGTGCTGTTTACGGATAATGGGCAGATATTAGCCGAAGCTGGGGCTGATCTGGACTGATCAAAGGTGACCGAAAAGCCACGTGACTATGAGCATGGGTGGTCGTCGATTTTGGAGTGGTGAAACAGGCCGACCTCGGACGCTGAAATTGGTATCTTTGTCCTCTTCCATCTTTCTCTTCCTCTGGATCCTGACCAAATTCTGCATTTCCTTGGTGCTGATATTTTTCTTGAGCTTCCATTGATCCAACTTGGAAATCCATTGCTTCTTCCTGTAACTAGTTAGAGCTCTCCTCCAGACGCTAGTCAGAGATGAGAAACGCAGAAAAGAACTTACGTGGCGGAGAAGTTATGTTGGTTCTTCATGATACTCATTGTTTCATCCAGGGTTCGATCCTCGAACCAGTAAAGTTGGTAGACTGTGTCGTACACGCCACTCCAGGGTTTGGAGGATGACGTGCCAACAAAGCCAGCCATTGTCGACGATCGAAATTGTGGAACTAGCGGGAAAATGACGGCCAAAGCCCGAAGTCTTGCGATATGTTGGGAAAGTGAAATGTTGAAGTTGTTGCTGAGGGTGTGCTGGAATTGTTGCGGGGCGGCTCCTTAAAACCATCGCAGCCAGCGGCAGCACCTGACGAGGGACTGGTGCAGCGGCTCAAGCTGCACAGGCAGCCACGGCCAGCCAACGAGGACCACGGAACAAAGTTCCCATGCATGCTCGCTCCGCGGTGCTCGTGGACGAATAGCATCGCGAGACAAACTTCCCTTGCATGAGGGGACGCCACACTGTGGCTGTTTCGCCACAAATAGCCAACTGTGACCCTTCACGCTGTCTCGATCGGTATGGACTGACATGAATGGAAGGTCTTCTGGCGATGTTTATGACTGGGTTTTCGTCATCGTTGCCAAGGATGAGAAGCAAGAACAGCCATGTGGTTGCGTTAAGTATCAGATCTAACATGGTCCCTCAAATACCGTAATCCATGTCGATAGCAGATCAGGCGACGGTAGCGACGACCAGACTCAGGTCAAGGATGGAGATGAAAAGAAAGCGATAATTAGGCTTCGGGGTCTCAGGAGGAGCGGAGGGTTCCGGAGTCTGGTGGACTTGGCCTGCGTTTGTCACGCCGGGCCCAACGCTATGCCAACTGCCAAGAGGGCAGCAACAACTGTTACAAACATCAAATCATCTTCAATTAATCCATCATCTCGGTAGAGCATGCTCTCTCTCGCAACTTACCTCCAATAGCCGTCACCACATACGACGCAATCGTCCACGCTGTCTGGACATCATCCGTGATCTCCTAGTAGGTGGCTCCGGCGACGATGCTGAGCAACACGGGTACCATGATAGTCGAGGTGATACGGTATATGTCCCACCGCAGAACCAGCCGGATCGAGTAGCAATTGGCGGCGGGCTGCGAATGTCCGCGGTTCAGGTTCTTCATGATCCAGTGTTCCCACTCAGACTTAAGCAGGGACCCGGCTCGCCAGTCTTCGAAGAGCGTGCGGAGGTAGTGTTCAGCCTCTGGCTCGTCGATATGTGTGTGGTGGCCGCTTTCTCCGCACTGCACTGAACGTCAGCGGGGCTTTTAAAAGGAGAGTTGGGACCACTCGACGTTCTATTAGTGCTCAGCGACCTGGGTAGGCATAGACTGACTTCGTAGGCGGCGAACCGCGCAACAGATCTTAGAGAGTAAAAGCGGTGTAGCCCCCTTAACTCCCTGGCGCCCTTCAAGAGATCATCTGAAAAGTTCTCATGCTCGTCCCCAGCAGCGATTTTAATAAGCGCTTCTTTTTGGACTGTCATGCCATTGGTTGAAGATGCCGATGACGAAATACAGCTTTTGGTCGTCGCTGAGTTCGGGTCCCCCTGATGAAGTAAGTTGGCAGAGGTACAATCAGACACGGAGCACTGTACATGCCATTTTTATTCTACTCCCATGGTGGCCATCCGCATCGACTGAGGTATATCCTCCCTTCCCAATTGGCTGTCCTGGCACATCCCAAGTTGTTCCTATCCAGAGAAATAGACAATCCTTCAATTTTGATGCGGAATCTTGATGCCCTGAGAAGTTTCTGGTGCTTCTCGAAGATGGGCTCGCGTTGGCTCTTGTTGGTGCCAGTTGCATCCCTAGCGCTATTGCCTGGGGTGCCTCTCTCGTCCGCAGCCGTTTCGGTAACAGCCGAAGCAACCATGGCCGGATCTGCAGACACTTTGTTGGCCGGGGACTCATTGACCGGCGGCCCGATATCAAGAGTAGCATCATGGGCAACTTCGGCAGCAGCTTTGATAGCAGGTGCTAGTTCTGCAGCAGTCTCACCGCTTGTCTCTCCTTGGGAACCATCTTGACCGCTATGGCTGGCGGGGTGGGCCTCACCTGAAACCGGAAAAGCCTCCGACGGCAACTCGGTTTCGAATATCAGTTTGTCGAGGAAGTCCAATCCCATATCCTCCCAGACAGGTAGTGGGCCTTTGGTCGGCGGCTCGGGGACAATGATGCCAACAGAAAGAGCTGGAGCAAAACGCTTGGTCACGCGAAGCCGGTCCGAGTGTTTCGACAACTCAACGTGCGCGCCTACTTCAATCTTCGCCTTTCCGGATAGATTCCTGATTGCGACAGCGACTCTGAATGCTTGCGGGAAGGCGGACTCCGGATGGCAACTTTAGTCGAGGGTCCAAAATTAGGCCACACTAGCTCACCCATAGCTCTCCCTAGCTCAGAAGCGGCTCAGGATCATGCACGAACATGGAAATTTCTGAGGGCAAATTTAGGGTAAAACAATGGGCTGTTCTGCAGGGTCGGCGGCACCCCGTCTAGATAACAACCAAGCGCATTCCATTTTGTAGGGGTGGGCTTCGGTATTGATGTCGTTGTGCTCGTTCTTGTTGATATTGAGCTGGTAGTTATAGTGATCTGCTAGCTCCTGACTTCGACGCAGTACGACTGCTCCTTCCAGTTGTCGCACGCCAAGCTGATGGACGGGTTCCACCGAGTGAAGGTTGTAGCACTGATGTTATACGACGATCGAACATCCAGACAGGAGAGGCCCTCAAAGTTGTCACACCAATAGCTGCAGTTGCTGATGGTGTTTAGGTCTCAGATCATGTGCAGAGTTACATCTCGCTTGGCAAGATAGTGATTCTGTCTTTGGGTTGGAAATGGTTACTTTGAGCGGGAAAAGCCCCAATACGCCGACCTTGACGCAAATACGTTTATCAACGCCCGTATAGGTATAGGGACATCTAGTGCGATATCATTCAGCTCACAGCTCGTCGATACTTGTATGTTAGATTAACTAACCAGATTATGTTTAGGTGACGGAGTGGCGGATGACACATTTGGCCTAAGCCTAATGTTTAGTCTCTCCGCGTATACGAAACGACTGTTGTATGTGCCTATGGGCTCTTATGTCGTCAGACGAACCATTCAGGTGAGCAGCCTATCGTAGACCCTATCAACATCACCAGCTGGCTAAATGACGACATAGATTCCGGTAGGCGCCCGCATCGTCGGTGAGTGCTGGCCGCAGATTGTTGCCAAGGGAGCTGTAAGTTACGAACAGGTAGTGCGTGCTGAGGTGCCGTCACAGCTGGATAGCTACATGAAGGGGGCGCAAAATCAGCTTGCCTCAAGAAGTAATATTTGCAGTCTCACATTGAGTGTGTGTGGATCTACATGTTCGCTAGCTTTGATAGCTTTATGTCAGGAATTACTATCGATATTTTGCAGTCAACACCTAAAAAGAATCATTACCTACAGGATTCGAATCTGTGCTTCCAAAGGAATTGCCTAGCAGCTACTGTTAGATAGCAGGGCAACGTGTTAACCACCCCGCCAAAGTCATCAATGGGTTGTATTGTGCACGCTGTATGGGGCAGCGCAGATGAGAAGTGAGAACCCCAAGATCTTTTAGCCTGTAATTATGTCTATCGTTCTACTAAAGCTGCCTCTTTGAGTATATGTAATTTTCAAGCGTAAGGTAGTTCTTTAGCAGCGTCTCCATTAATAAGCTTAGCTTGTTTTTAATAAACCGTTAACGTCATTGATAAGCGAGCGGTCAGTACAAGCGAGTGGTCAGTTTCACCACCCCAATTGAACTGTCGCACGAAATACCAACACCATAAAAGAACCAAAAATGCCAGCCAAACGAAATGAAGCACAAGTGCAACTTGCCCTTCAAGCTATGGAACGCGACAAGAACCTCAATCCCCACGCAGTTACAGAACTCTACTCGGTATCCCGTACGACCCTTCTCCGACGGCAAAAGGGAATTCGCCCTCGAGCAGATACCATTGCCAACTCTCGGAATCTTGACCCCCTTGAAGAGCAGGTTATCGTACGAAGGGTTCTTGATTTATATAAGCAAGGATTTTCGCTAGGATATAATATAGTGGAAGATATGGCCAATTTGCTACGTGCGTCGTATAACGCGTCGTATGTCAGACAACGCTGGGCTTTAAATCTTATACGACGACAACCAGAGCTCTAGATACATTAAACGCGTCTATATAACTACCAAAGGGCTAAGTATGAAGATCTAAAGATAATTAGTATATAGTTTAACCTTGTTTATAATATAATCACAAAGTATAGGATCCTTAAGTCGGATATCTGGAACTTTGACGAGACCAGGTTTATAATAGGCTAGATCTTGCCTACTCTTGTTGTTATATCATCTAAAGGCTGTAGGAGGGTTAAGAAGATCCAACCTAGTAATCAGGAATGGGCTATAGTAATTTAGGCCGTGTAGTCAGGTGGTGATACTATCCCTCTATATGTAGTGGTTGTGAGTAAAATGCACCTCGAAAGTTGGTATCGCGACAGCCCTTTTCCACCCGAATGGACCGTTGATCTCTCGGAAACTAGTTGGACGAATAACCAGATTGGTCTTGATTAGATCAAGCACTTTGACAAACACTCTTGCCGTCGTACAATAGGTGGAAAGCGACTCCTTATCCTTGACAGTTATAAGAGCCACCACTCGGCCAAATTTGAGGATTACTGTAAAGAAAACAACATCATCACACTTTGCATGCCTCCACACTCATCTTATCTACTTTAACCACTTGATGTCAGGTGTTTTAGTGTGTTGAAGCGGGCGTATAGCAAGGAAATCGAGAACCTCATGTGTAACCATATTCATTATATCACCAAACCTGACTTCTTTCTTGCCTTCTACAACGCATTTTAAACAGCCTTTAAACCTAAGAACGTATAAGGAGATTTCCGAGGAGCAGGCCTTGTTCTATTTAACCCAGAGAAGGTGATTTCCAAGCTAGATATCAAGCTTTATACGCCAATACCGACTGGCCCCCCTGAGGTATTGTACGACAGTTGGGTCTCTCAAACGCCACAGAATGCCACCGAGGCCTCTCTACAGTCAACATACATCAAGGATCGTATTGCTAGGCATCAAGACAGCTCACCAACGCCAATTATTAAGGCCCTTGACCACATTGTAAAGGGTACGACAAAGGTTATGCACGAGATGGTGTTGATGAAGGCTTGCGTACGAGAGCTTGAGGAGGTAAATGCCGCTTTGAGTAAACGCTGGAGAGTTAAAAAACGTTATATCCGGGCAGGGGGACCATTAACTGTACAGGATGTAAGCAATATTCTGGCCGAAAGGGATGCATAGGCATGGCTAAAGAAGGAAAAGCGGTTGGGGGGTGGTTGTGCGAGGAGCAACGTAGCAGGTTCACGGCACTGTAGCAACTGCGGCAAAATAGGGCACAAATCTCGTATGTGCCAGAAAGATGCGAAAATGGATTAGGAATCAGGTTTTATGTAGTTTTAATTAGTTATTTCCTTTATGGTGTTGGTATTTTGTACGACAGTTCAATTGGGGTGGTGAAACTGACCACTCGCTTGTACTGACCGCTCGCTTATCAATGACGTTAATGTACTATTTATTAGTTAGTGTTAAGGTAGAATATCACTAAAAGGCTAGGAAACCCATATTAGTAATAAAGTCAGTAAGGTTTCTCGAAATTACATACGTTAGATCGTTTAGATTCTAACTAAAGACAAAACGCCGGAAGTAGATCCGCATAGTTTAAATAGTCAGTTTGTATCACGACCTGACTTGACTACCGGCTATGGTGCGAGGTCAATCACGTTTAAAGTCACGAGCAATGGAGATGTCTCTACGGGTCAAGAAGACCTACACGCAGAGATCGCGGAGAGCACAGAGGAACGTAACCTCTTGCTAAAGGCCTCTGTAACCTACAGAACCTTGGAGCGTGAGGATTTCTATTCCTCACGTAAGTAATTATATTCTGTAGTATCCCAAAGTATTATACACCTTGGTCATAGTAATCTGTTTAACAGAGTGTAGTAACCCTTCTGAGAGACTTACCTTCCCAGATTGATCTTCTCTACTAAACCCACTCTAAGGCGTCCTGCCTTGCAATCTGTCATTCAATACTATGCACCCTGGTACCTAGTGTATAGGTTGTAATAGTTTTCCGTTTAGGTCGAGTATGCCTTTACTAGAATTAGCTATAAACTCGGCGAAATGCTTTAGGGTTTTTAACTTGTGAGGGGTAGCTTTAGGGTGCGTCGTCTTATACCTTAGTAGACGATTAGCCTGAAGGTGTTGAATCCTACAGCACTTCTGTAAAATACGGCTTGAATTGATTGAGAAAAAAAAATTCTTGTAACTAGTTCGGGGCTCCCGGGATGAGGGTAGCCCGTGACCCTGTACTGTAGTGCCACCTGATTGGCGCTAGCGGCTCAGAGATACTCCGTTTTGGCCTCATCAAATTTGACAGAAGGCGGGTGTTTTAGGTTGGTTACATAGTATAATTGGTTGGCTGGGGTGTGTGGGGTGAGGGCCGTTGGAGTTTCAGCTGTGGTGGTGCTTGGGCACTGCCAATGAGGCTCTAGAGCCGCATCGAAGGATCACTCCCTTCGACGGATAAAGTAGAAGAAGAGGGGAACAGCTAGGGAATGTAAAATAAAGCTCCTCGCTCCCCGGGCTCCTGTTCTCCTGAGCGCTCGCTTCCGCACCGCGTCCGCGCAACACCACAATGAGTGTCGACCCAGCCCATGTCTACGTCGGCGTCTGGTCGGACTGGACGAAGGGTCGCATCCTGGGCGCCGTAATCACTGTTCCCTCCTGGGCCGGTGCCGTGGTGGTTGCCCTACTTGCGGTTTTCATCCACGCGGCCGGCATACATCTTTGGCATCTCGTCCGCTTCGCTCTGCACCAAGTCCTCACGACAGACAAGGGCATCCACCCGATCGGGCGGCAGGTCCAGGCACTCCTTCGCAACGACGACTCGGCCGGCAGCACTGGCGTCCGCCTTCTCAAACTTTTGTGGCACTGGAAGGGACGCTCAGCACCCTTGATACGGCCCTCCGCTCTCGGCGTCATGGGCCTTGTCTTCGCCGCCTGCATCGCCCTCGCTGGCACCTTCTCGTCTGCCATCTTGAACACGACCCAAATCTCCGTCCTCTTGAACTCGCCATACTGCGGCATGATCGACGGAAGCTCCGTGGAAACAGGCGACTTCGTTCTTGGAATGGATAAAATCGATGCCTTCGTGATGTACGACCACGAAGCGCGCAGTCGTGCGGCCACATACGCGCGTCAGTGCTACAACGGCACGTCGCCGACCGAGTCGTGCAGCGGATTCGCTATACCAGCTATCACTTGGGAGACGGACTTCCATGCACCGTGTCCGTTTGCCAAGGAGATGTGTGATGGCCCAGCGATGGCGCAGGACACGGGTCGATTGAACACGAATGCGATCTTTGGCCTCAACCTGGCGCCGAATGAGCAAGTCGACTTTCGACGCGTCATAACCTGTGCGCCGATTGTGCAGGACGGCTTCACCCAGACGATTCCGTACAGGTTGACGAGGACCTCCAACGCTTCTACACCTGTGTCGCTAGCGAGTGAATCGGAAGAACTAACTATCTATTGGTATGGGAGGAGGGACTCAAGCCGCAATTACACCATTAAGTTTGATTCTATTAATAATGAGCTACTCTATACGTATACTACGACGTAAGCTTTACGCCTGCGCTTAGGACGAATTTATCCCCTCTTCGAGCCTAAACTAACTTTATTGCTATCTAGCTCAATCGGAGATTTCGGCAAACTTGGTGGCTGGGAGCCTATACCGGCCTTGAAGCGCTTCGACGGCAGCGTGGGTCTTGTCTTTATGGAGGCAGGGAGCATTCGATACTTTAATCCGGTAGATGATCCCGTCTTTTCAGCCCACAAGCCCGAGATCGTCTCCCTCGCGAATGGTCAGAACCTCACGAGATATCTCACAGATCGCGCCGCGGGGGTCTTGGGTTGCGTCGATCAGGTAAATTCATTCATTCCTCGTACTACACTGCGGTGCCCGAGGACTAACTTGTTTCCGATAGCATCAAATCTGCAAGGCCCACGGGAACGACTGTTCGAAGCTCGGACTTTGGTCGACCATTGTAACCGAAGTCCTCGACACACTCAATCTGACGGATGTTCAGAAGGCAACTTTAACAATCTTCAATAACACCGTCGCTTGGCTCACAGGCCCGGATGGGGACACGGCTGATAACCTAGTAGTACAACGGCGCCTCTTCATGGGCGCAAATCAGATTGCCCTGCCATCGAACCAGTGGCAGATCGAGGTCGAGAGCTGGCATGCCCGAGTGATGTCAACAATGCAGACGCGCCTGGCCATGCAGGCTGCGGGGCCAAGCACCGAGTCTATACGTCGATACATCGTGCCGCCGGCGACGGAGGCCCAGAGACAGCTCTGCCGGGCGCAGAGGGTGCGAGTTGGTCAGGGCTTCAGCAATATCTCTCTCCTTGGTCTGTTGCTCGCGGCAATCCTGGGCGTATTG